GGAGGGGCTCGGTGAAGGGGAGGGGCTCGGTGAAGGGGAGGGGCTTGGTGAAGGGGAGGGGCTGGGCGATGGTGACGGCGATGGCGAAGGACTGGGACTTGGCGAGGGGTAAGGCCAAGGGTTAGTTGAGCACTCGGTGTATGGCGAAAACGTGAGGCTTGAGCTCTGCGGGGGTGGCGCCGCGTGGATGTCAGGGGTGTTGGCACAATGTCAAGGATGCTGAGTGCACGCCATGTCGTACACTGAGACCACATGCAAGGCGACCGATCGGTTGCAAGCGCAAGCTGCCTGGCATACAGTCTGACCTTGAGGATTGTGCGCATCCCCATGGTGGCCTGCTGAGGGCAGCCCTTGTTGAAGTTTGTCGAGGTGTACTCGATGTTCCAGACGGGCTTGCCGGCCACCTTGCTGGGGGCGTACATCCCGCACTCGCTGTACTGGTTGCACTGCCTGCGTGTCATGAGGATGTGGATGGGTCGGTGGGTTTGTGCACAGTGCATGGTGTGCTGAGTGAGATCCGCAGAGGAAAAGATGGGGAGGGTCAGGCGGCAGAGAGTGACATGGCACGGAAAGAGAGAGGGAGAGGGAGAGGGGAGAGTGTGGGGGAGTGTAGGGGAGTGTAGGGGAGGTGTGAGGTGTGTGTGTTTGTGGGGGGAAGGGGGTTCGCACGCGTCCGCACACATTTGTGTGCGTGCGCACGCAATCTGCAGGGCGCTTGTCTGAGCACATGTTGACACATCCACATGTCAGGCGGAAGGGCGCGCACACGCGGTTCGGAAGGAAACAGATTGTGTTGGATGCAACGGCAAACATGTGTCTGGTGAGGAGCTGATGAGCATCGCCAACCCCTTCCCATCAAGCAGGTTCCAGACACTCGTCACCAGAGCTCAGCAACTCACTCGTTCACAAAGAAGTCGAAGTAGGGCGTCAGCTGGGTGAGCTGGTCAAGATCATTCTTGAGACCGATGGCCATGCCCTGCGCATGCGCCTCGTTGGCCAGGAACGTGTTGTAGGACAGCTGGTCGGCGGCAGTGAGGCCCACGCCGTTGGGGTTTGTGTAGCCGTCCACGTTGTCAGGGTCGACGGCAACGAAGCCCTTGGACTTGCACATGGCGATGCGCTGTAGGGATGAAGGCGGCAAATTCATGTGTGCGGGCAGCAACTTCAGCTGGAGGGCATGGCAGCAACTGCCTGCAGCTGATGCAAGATGCACGAACCCTGCACCACCACTTCCGCTGATTCCCTTCAGGCTGCCTGCTTGGGTCCACGGGGCAGACTTGCCCCCACACACACCTCGCTGTGCAGGCCGGACAGCCGCCAGGGTCCCCACCTGCTGCATGATCCTCCTGACGTTGGAGGACCTGACGTCAAGCCACCACTCCCCGGGCCAGCCGCTCAACGGCGCGCCCTTGTCGCTGGCCAGGAATTGGGACGCGTCGGGGCGCCAGTCCTCGTAAGAACCCGCACTGCGGTGGGAAGGGGGGTGCCAGGGAGTGCGCTGGTAAGATTTGGTCCGCTTGTGTGATAGTAGGGAGTACCGAGCTTCAGCAGGGCATCGGAAGGGCCGACCTGCAAGCCCAGAAAGGGCACAGCAGGCTGCTGCCGGGCGGGCACAAAAGCTGCACACGCGCGGACTGCGGCGCACCGCCACATGCATGCCGCGGCGCGGCATCATGCGAGTGTACCTGAAGTAGCAGATTGGGTAGGCCCCCTGGCTGATCAGCCACGCCACAGTGGACGCCGGCGTGTCCCAACCATCAAGTGCGTACGCCTGTGCCTCACCAGCACATGATGGGAGCGCGAGGCCGTCGTCAACATCAACATTTGCAAAGAACACTGGTGCACACAGCTTTGGAAAAGGCGCCTCAGGTATGTTGCATGTTGGGCTGTACTTTGGTCTTGGCTTGCGCAATCCACTGAGAACGTGCACTGTGCAGTGACATATCGGGCGTGCGTGTTGCGCGTACGTTGACCCCACAGGGCCCTCCCTGTCATCGCACCTTGACGCCAGGGATTAGATGAGTGGGCACCACAAACAGCTCTCCCAGCTGATATTGGTATCGATCGGCCAACTGAGGCTGCCAACGAGTCTGCGCTGACGCCAGGGATAGGCCCAGGAATGCAAGGGCCAGCGCCGCCTTCATACTTGCCAAATGATGTGTGATACGCGTTTCACACCTTTATAACTCTGTTCCGCAATGTCTGCGACGCGCGTTCGTGTCCGCGGTGCGTTTTGTCTGGACTTGCAATGCCGGGTGTATGTGATGTAAAGCAACCAACAAACGAGGTAGGAATGAAAGAATCGAATTCCTGTGCGATAGTCTGATGCTGTATCCACCAATTTCGATATTCAGGACTGGGGCGTGCAAGTTCGCAGTGCAAAGCAGGCAGACACCTGGGGGAGCCCAACCACGGTAAAAGTGTCACATTTGCAGATATTTTATCCGAGTATTTTTTATTTTGAGATTTCGTGCACCACCACCCGCCTTAGCCCCCTTGCGTCGCATTGCCGTCCTCGGAATGCACTCGACCGTGAACTTGCAGCCGCTGCCTTCAGCACAGCGCGTGGATGCTTGAGCTCTGTCGCATCCAACGGCAATCCTGTTGAATCTCCCTTTCGTACATTTCGTACATTTCATGCATCGACTACGCCACACTTGGCTTGCATTTACCAGCACAGCAAGTTGTCATGCTGCGAAGGAGATTGGCACAATTTCTGCAGTAACTTCACTAGCGACTGACGAGAAACGCGAGGCGTCCATTGGTCGGTTTTGAGATACATCACATACACAGATGTTGAAGTTAGGACCCAATTCACTCACGCTACAAACTTCTACAGCAACAATGCATCAATGGAGCCCCCCCCCCTGGGATGCCTTGATTCGCTAGGCCCTTCAAGAACTTTGCCTCCACATGACCGCATCAACCTCTCAGACAAACTCTTGGTGCTGCTGCACCAGCACACATGCGCAGAGTTTGCACAATACGGTTGTGGCGTGCACATATGGTTATTTGGTTTTGGGAGGGAGGCTTCCTTTGTAGCAATCACGGACAGCAGCTGATAAGTGTCCTGGCAGCGGCAAACGCCAGCACCAAGCCGCCACCTTGAGCAGCTGCACAGGTCGACACGGCAGAGCTCCCTTCTGCAGGCACCAATGCGGCCTCTGCTGACGCCGATAGCACCGCTGTGCTGCTGCTGCTTCCCCTGCCGCCTCTGCGACTCTGCCGCCACCGCAGCCTATTTGCCATGAGTGCACTTGAGACAGTGAGGGTCACTGCGCAGCAGGCACCCGCACCGAAGCTGCTGCCGGCATCAGGGCCTCCCGCATGCAGTGCAACCAGGCAGCCAAAATGGGTATATCTTGTTCCAGGCCCGCATGCTTGCGCTTCTTGTCAATGGGCGCATGGGCAGCAATGGGTTGGCTTTGGAACCACCTGCACCAAGTCGGCTTCAAAACGGCAAAAAACGCTTTGTTCTATCAGAAATCCAAAGTGCCACTGCGGGCATTTCGCTGCTGTCAGAGGCTACCACCGCAAGGTATATATTCAGCCATGCAGATAAAACGGATGTGGTGTTATATATCTTTCAACGCAGTTGCATGCGCGCCAGCCAGGCCTGTGCTGGGTAGCTTGAACTGCTTTGCTGTTGTTGCAATGGCTGCGAGCGGTGCAAGCAAGCAAGCAATATGTGTGTGAGTGCGTAGCCATGTCATGCTGCGGAGCTCTGTTGTTTGTAGAGAGCCGTGAGTTGCAACGGTACTCCGGATGATTATGCATGAGTTGAATCTTGTTCAGGGGATACAGGCATGTCAATCGCTCAAGGGGACGCTTGTACTTACCGGCCGTGAAGCACCACGGGCCAGGTGTCCAGCATCAACCAGTTGCTGGCGTTACATGAAGCACATGTGCGCAAAGCCATTCATGCTTGTATGGCATTAAATGTTAGTGCGTACTGGTGTAGATTTCTGTTTATCATCTGCCAGATTGCGCCCAGGGCATCCGCCGGTCAACACTGCAGAGGCGGTCGGGCTGGCCAGCCACCCGCCAAGGC